TATTCGGAAGTCATCGACCGCAACCACTGACTGTCACGACTAGATGAATCAGTAGAGATAATATTGTATCTTCCATGTAAAATCCTATAGATTGGATGGTCACATCATAATAAATCTACGGCAACGAAACTGGTCTATTATTGTAGTAGCATAGACAACTGCACGTCATACCGATTAGAAACAAAACATTACAATCTCACACGTTAGCACACTAATTTTCCCAAACACACTGAATTTAGATGGTTTTTGTCTCGGTATTAGGTATATTTTTAAGGCAGTCCTGATACTTTATGGTGATGACTATATTGCATTTTGTGTTTGTGAGATAAATTTTATACTGCAACATTATACTCAACCAACTCTTTAGATAAATTGATGAGGTGTGACATGGTAAAACGGGAACGTATGGAAGACGCAGAGTGCCGTTGCTTGATAAAATGAATGTCTTCCAAAAAAGTATCAGTATCCTGATTTCTGTACTTTGCACGAGGTCCAATATCTCAGAAGAACCTCGTTGTGAGTAATCATCTACAGGCCTAGTGGTAAGGCAGTGAAGTTGTGCTTACGTATCATTTAGAGGAGACATCACAAAATTGACGGAAAAGGCTACAATGCTAAATCCTGTCACTGTTTCCTGCAGTAGCTTGCTTATTAAGAACTTAATGTGGCTTAGATAGTGTTCAAGTCTAGTCTTTAGTTCTTTATCACGAGACTCTATTAACTCGAAAATTTTTGACTAACCTCCCAGTGAGATTCATCTTGATAGACTGTGTAGTTTTGTTTCATTAAACACTCTCATCCTCATAATCCGATTTTGCATCGGTTGTGCAAGTCTCACTCTGTTTCCTTAATTTTCTTGGTGTAGCTGTAAGTCAATCATTGGCCTTATTTTGCCTCTCGGCAAAATCATCTACCCCACTCAGGTTTTACTGCTGCATATTTGTTTTTGCTTCAATATGGCCACTTGTGGTTGAAAAAGCTAACTCACATATTTCAGAGATATCTGTAGTTTGCTACGTAGCTCGCTTCTTCATTTTTCTTGCAACCATGTCTAAATATGTGTATTTGTTTTCGGCTATATCATAGGCATCCGTCTTGATGGTTTCACTCATATCTAAAAGTGGTCTCATGGTAACGCTTTCTACTTCCTCGAAAACTGACAGCCACTCATCTGCTACTGACAGTTTATCTGAGAGCGATTTTCTAACTGTGATCAACAGCACATTAGCCTAAAGAATCAGCGGAAACTCTGTTAAGCAGCATGATCTGCACAGTCAACATGACGGTGGCTTGCAACACCTTTTTTATTTAGTCAGGGTGAGTCCAATGCACACTCTGTGATACTACTTGTTACAGCTGTCACACTGTATTCGATCATCGGGTGGAAAAAAATTATGTGGGTCTACCACATCAATATTTTGTTTGAGCCATTAAAAATGTTAGACGATCTCACAGAGAGCAGGCTGAGCTAGTTCAAACGAATTACCATGAGTTTTTCACTGCGAAAATTAAAATATTCTTGAGGACTCAAAACGGTGTTTCACTGAAATTTACTATTTTTCTTTTTCTCGGTAAATACGCTCAAGTCACCACCTGAAGACATCAGAGATCCATTGCGACTAAAAATGGAAGCCCGTTAATTGAAAGCATCTTCTATTTTGTCTGCAATCATTCGAACCATTCAAGTCATTGTGATTTCTTACTGCACACAAGCCTATGTGCAACAAAGTAGTCTTTTCCGCCAATGGCCTTCAAAACCTACAAGCAACCTACCCTACTCTTCGTTTGCCAAGCCTAAAAAGGCACTGCTGGGCAAAATACAAACGAAGTGGTAACAACAATGGATACAGGAAGTTCGAACAAATAAAGAACATATTCACAAAGACAATAAGAGAGGACAGGCTTCAGTACCAGATAAAGCTTATCGACAAATTTGTCTCAAACCCGAGAAGCATCTCTTCGACGTGCCAAAACCGGAGTTCCTCAACTGCTATGTCCTGATGAACTGACCAACAACGACGCTGACGCCACTGGCATTCTGGCACAACAGTACCTTCTGGCATTTCAACCAACCCACATCAGTTATATTGATGAAAGCTTCACCTGCGACCCTATAGGACCTTCCGAAGTGAACATGAGCGCTGAAGTGGTGTACCAAAAACTTCCGCGCCCAAAAAGTACTTCTCTTGGTTCCGATATTGTCCGTTCTGCTATACCGAAAGGAGCAGCTTCAATCTTGGCAAAACCGCTTAGCGTGAGGTTCTCACATTTGCTAACCCGAAGCACATTACCAGAAAATTGGAAGCTGGCTCACATCACACCAATTTTCAAAGGAGGTAGATGCAGCAAACCTTCAAGCTACTGACCGGTAGTACATCTCTCTATACCTTCAAAAATTATACAGTTCCTGATATGTGACGGTATTCAAGACTATTTGTTGTCCATAAACTTCTTTTCACCCCAACAACTTAGTTTCAGCAAAAGTCACTCATGTATAACCTATCTGATGACCTCGGTGGACAAATAGACAACCAACCTTGATCTGAAGGGGAAGGTTGGCGTTATAGACCTTGACCTTTTAAAAGCTTTCGATGGGTTCAACAATATATTTCTTATCAATAAGCTCAAATGATTAGGTATCAAACTGCCCTTAGTTGATTGGATCACTTCATATCTTGAAAATAGACATTTTAGGTTCCGAGTGAACTTCACTTTCTCGTGGGTTTTAGAATGTTCTGGTGAGGTCCCCCAAAGGTCAGTACTAGGGCATCTTCGCTTCTTGATTTATGTAAACGATCTTTCACAACAGGTATCGCCTGGTATGTTACGTTTTACTGATGATGTGAAACTCTGGGGAGAATAACCTGGCAATTCAGGTCTCAGAGTTAGGCAGATGACAACGGTTTAACCTTTAACACTTCAAAGTGTAAAGTGGTTCATCTGGGACATTTTGCGAACCACAGCTACAACATAGGAAAGTTCTCTTTAGAGGTACCTTATGATAGTGTTACGTCAACTGCGATAAAAATGCCTTCCAATCAAACTTTTCGCTGCTAACGTTGAAGCGCAATTTGGATCAGTTTGACGGAAAAAAACGTTCCGCACAATCTTCAGCAGTTTTATTCGTTCCCATTTAGAGTACGGAATTGTAGTATTGCCTTCCCCACTCCAAAAGGATAAGGACACTCTGGAGCGTATCCGAAGGCAAGCCATGAAATCAGTTCGCGGACTCGTGTTCAAGCCTTATGAAGAGCGCCTCCAATCACCAAACCTTCACCTACTAGAGTATAGGTGTAACGACCGAGCTGCTAGTATTCGGTTTGAACGCAGAACTGATGGGCCAAAATGTATTCGAATAGACCAGACTACGTTCTCCTGTATACCGTACAAAGCGTTTTTGAGATACTCGTATTAAATCATATCAAAACACAAACTCTGTGCTCAATTTAGACGTTTCTAATTTTGGGACTAGAACAACTTATATCGGAAACGGTACTGCCTGTGCTACACAGTCAGAAGTTTCTCTAACGCAAAGTAGCGCGCTAAACAATAGAATAAACAGTTAACACCAAAGAGTTCGATGCCTGAGATTCAATAAAAAATTTTCCCAACAAGATGGGATTAAATATCTATCTACTGAGATTCCATTAATCCTCTCAAGCAGGCAGTCTAAAGGTGAACAGTCACACACTGAACCACGCCGTGAGCTTGAGCTAAGTCAAACACGGCCTTATTGTCAGTAGTCCGGCAACATGCAACAGAAAATTAGGCAACAAAAGGTAAGTCTTTATTCAAAATTATGTAATAAATGCTCAGACGAGGAAGACTGAAGAGCGAAAGGTGTGGTTAAGCGAGATTTGAACAAAGGTTAAAATACACGAGAGGGAGAAGAAACAAATAAATGAGAGTACTGTCCAACAAAAAAGCTGCAAAGGGATTTTCATAGTTCTCTTTCCGTTACACTAGCCCACAACATACCTCCGGCTACGCAAATACACCTTTGAATACATTCCTGACATGACTCTCCTTACTAACTGCTCTATATCAGTGGGAAGCAAAGAACTTACAACACTACGCATGTACATCCATAAACCTATCCTAAAGTCTGCTGCTATTCGGTTCCCTTCAGAAATCAAAGCATTCGCAGCTTCCCTATGTGTTCCCCTTCTCACTAAGACTAGTAACTTACTGTAAAGCAAAACGTTGTCCGAAGGTTTGTGCCTGAGTACGTTCCGAGAATAGACAGAGGAACTGCAACCTGTCTCAGTCAGGACCTTCATCATAAGATCGTAAGATTTCTTCCAGCAAGGTCCAGATGCAAAATAGCATAAAGCAACTCATAACCTTCATAAATCAGAACAGTGTGGGTCACACCTTCACCTGAGTCCAACACTATATCAGTTGTACGACCATACAGTGATAACACCGACTGAAAAGCGACATACATAGCTGGTGTATTAAAAGTCTCAAACAGGATCTGTGTCATCTCACGGTTTGCTTTCGGGTTCAATGAAGCTTCTTTGAACAACACTGGATATTTCTCTGTTGCCACTCGCGACTCGTTGTCGAATGCATGGTACCATGTCTTCTCCATATCACTCCACTTAGTCACAATACAATATTCGATTCGGTACTTCAGTGTCAGGATACCACGTTTCGATCGAGCTGGTCCAAAAAGAACACATCCTAGCAGTGTTCTAATAGCATAGGGACTCTTTCTTTCACCTTACCTTTGGTCCAGAGCCGAATGCATCAGTGATCCACTGTTACTAGATACGTAAGCTCTTTAAGCAAAAGCTCCTTCTATTCCATCCACAACCATTTGAAGTCATTAACTCTTCGAACGGAGATGTTCTTTCTATCTTTGTTCGGCCCATAAGATAAAAGATAGTGGATGGACAGAAAAATGCCAGGAAAGGAGTGATAAAAGCATTCTTTTTTTTTCCTTAAAACAGAAATCTGAAATTTGAAGAGTTCTCAATCTCATATCCGGAAATTTCAAACTTCAAAGGTCATTTTTGCGCTCTGCTTTTTTATTCCTACTTTATCCATCACTTTCGTTGCTTGAAGGATGAACATCACTAGACATAAAGTGGCCAAACTAAAACCATATTTAAAACTGTCTTAACTTGGCCGCTTCTGTAAAACCGTACGAATTGTCGGGGTGACGCACTAATCTTAAGATTGTAAAATTTTTTACAAGTTTGACCTTAAACTGCTCAGTAACCCCCATTATCGACGATACCACTGAATCGTTGCTGCATTGTGCAAGTGGCAGTTTATGTCGGATGGTCGGACTTCTAGGTGACTTGCATATATTCACTCATGATCCCAATCTCCCAAGTTTGAGGTATTTTGGGGAAACTCCCGGCGTCAAATGACCTTCACCAAGGTTAAAGGAAAATTTTCCGAGGTCTGGGAAAAATTTGTGGGTTTAAATGCCATTCCATCAAAGTTTACTATAGAGGCTTCCCCAAAATTGGGAGCTCGGGATGCACAACCCTTTTTGCCAAAACACCTGAAACGTTTCCCCTAGTGTTATCGTAGAACGCGCGGTAACCTTATATTGGCATCTTGCTTCGGTCTGTACACTCGAGCAGTATCTCAGCCCACACACAAATCAAGTGTGCGGTGCCCCTATGTCCCAATATTTATGTTTAATTCAATAAATCGTCTACTAATATTGACACTTGCACAAGAAGACAAAGAATAGGTGGGGGAAGTCGTGCTTAATTGCCGTTATTAATTAAAATTTTGGTAGCCTTTAGGTTTCATCAGTTTATTTATGAGTAAGCTTCTGTATAAGGAGAATATATATGTGTAACACCAGTTTTCAACTTGCTTTTTACTTGTCACAAATCGTTTCCCGATTCTTTACTGATTCAGAAATTTTTCTAACACCTTAACAAACACACCAAAAAATGAGTGGAAAAGCAGTTTTGATGCAGTGAAGCTGTTCTCATTGTTTTCCACTTCTGTATACATATTTCGTATTAATTCCCCACTCATTTTGATTGTGCTTGAATTCGCGATCTCGTGGATCATTTAAAACTTCTGGTGATGACAGTCTTCTGTTTGGTACTTGCTTTAAGTCTCTAGATTATGTATCTACAACTCCATAACTTTCAAAGAGCTTATTATAGTCACCTATTTCACATTTTCTATTTTTTGTCTTCGGGATTTACATCTTGGCATTTTGAAATGAAATTTAGGTTGGACTTTATTTCAGAGCTCACTTCTGTTGTTGGTATGTTTGTGAAAGTTCATATCAAAAATGCTTCTGTAATAGCCTATTCTGCTGCAGCAATAACGTGTCATCTACTAAATCATCTGTTCTAAAAAATATGCACATCAGCAACTAATTACTTTCTGGCTTTTCGAAAAAACACTCATCTGGAGAGCACATGTTGATATTAGGTTCAGCGTTTCTATCGTGATAACATACTTAACATCCTAAAAGACGTTTTGTTTTCATTCGTCTGATGCTTAGTCACCATGGCCTTTTTCATATTTTCCCGTTATTTTGTTATTTTGTCCTCTAATTGTATTGTGTTACATGTTAACTTTAAACTGCTTTCAACTTTTTTGTACTGATGTGGTGTGTATAATACAGATTATTGAGCTTCATTGGCAGATAAGTTGAATATCTTAACGTTCTGGTTGTTTGCTTAGTTTGTTCAGTACCTATTCAGATTGTCTACTGAATTTAATACTTCATATTTAACTTTTTATTATTTTTAAAGTGAATTTCGCTATAATTTTTGTTTTCTGTTGTGCTTTCATGCTTTGTAGCAGTCTTAACATACTGTGTGTCCATTTGTTCTTCATATATCGCAAATTTTAGGTTTCAAGGTTTGTGGCTCTGGATTCATGTGTTTTAAGTACTATTGTCTAACATTTCTACTTATTAACTGTAGTGAACCGAAAGTTTGTACGACAAAGTGATGTCGAGACCTATCTCTGTAGTAGTAGTTGAAAGACACAATGAGGTAAGGCATTCAATACATTATTCAAGGTTTTAAATTATATATACCGGGCTATTGGAAGCAAAACAATTTCCTTCTCTGGATTGAAGCTATTACATTTTGACTCTCATCCTGATATGGGCATTCCTGATGTTGAATGTTCAGAAATTTTGAGGGACCCTGAACAACTCATGAAGTTTGTTTTGTCGTCTTAACGTTTCTCAAACTCCAGGAAAGTAAGCATAGAAAACTGGATAACACCAATGATATATGCTGGTCATGTTGACCATGTCATCTGGATGCACCCAACGTGGTCTCGACAGCTCCTGAATAGGAAGCCAACATGCTATTCTATCGGTGAAGACCTATGCACGAAAAGATTAGTGTAAGTTGTTTTTTCATCGTACTGAAGCATCATAACATGGTGCTATCTAGTTTATGTGGTGTATGTGGCTTATCATTCCTCGTTTTAACATTTAACGTAAACACTGAAAGATATACAACTGTCACATTAACCCTACCTTTTGATTGTTTCAGTATAAGGATAAGATATAAAATAATACTAGCGGAAAGTACTCACTAGGAACATTTGTATTTATTGCCATCAGAAATGTGTTAATGATGATTTTTATTGTTAATATATTATGCTTATGGTTTTAGAGATCGACCCGCACGAACATTTGTTGTCATATTCATACTACAAAAATGTTAATATCCTGCTATATCATTAAACCAACACAGCATGTTCTGAATATTTTGGACGAAGTGTAGGATGTTTAAAAGTTTTTGCGAATTGGTAATAGTACTTTTGGACTTACATGGTATAACCCATAATTTGTAAGTACAATGTGAACCGGGTAACAGACTTCACTTATCAAGTAGTTACTTCATCCTGATAGTCAACGAAACTCCGGTATTGATATTGCACGGCAGCCTGCATTTTGCTATTCTATAGTCAGTCAGTCAGTAACGACGTAGAACTTCGTACGTACGTACATCAGTTCGAGTTGCCACACCACATTAGCACAGAAATGCAGTGGTTGATTCAAATCCCATAGTGCTAGATGTAGTAAAATTATAAGTTGTAATCAGAAAAATTAGGTTTTGAAGATGTTATTCAAGGAGTATAATGCAGTGAAATAAATTTGGAAAGAGAAAAAAGAAAGGGATATGAAGAATTCGAAGATTAGAATTTGGGAGAACACAGAGTGGATGCACCTGCGCCATTGCAAACGATTTTGAGCCATGTCATTCATGGTCTCTAACCATCGGTTGCTATCATCTCGTGGTCCCCAACCAGGTAGTCTACACCTACCAACATGACTCAGTCTACTTGTCAGTGACTTCATGGACTTGTGCCATGTTTTTTCGTCTGGCCGCCCCTAGCTTTCTTCCAATCTACTCCTATATAACAAAACATCGCACGTCGAGGCAGTCGGTGGTTAGGCATACGTAACACATGTCCCAGCCATCTCAACTGATGAAGTTTCACTACGTCATCAATTGATTTGCCATCCTTACCTAGTATCCGTTTCCTAACAACTGAGTCGCTTACTCGATGGTCTCAGGATATAAGAGCAATGTTTCGAAGGCACCTATGATCAAATACTAGTAACCTACGAATATCCTCTACTCTTACCGGCCATGTTTCGCTGCCATAAAGTAGGACGGAACAAACTGCTGCGCAGTAAACACGTCCTTTGGTTGATAGACGAATATCTTGCCTACGCCATAAGTGACGCAAGTTGGCAAAAGCTAGTCGAGACTTCTGTATCCGTGCTGAGATTTCGTCACACACTAAACCACAAGGGCTGATGAGACTTCCAAGATAAGTGAAGCGATCGACACGCTCAATTACTTCACTCCCTATCATTAGTTCGGGTGTCAATGCAGCCCAATCCTGAAGCAACATTTTGTATTTCGAGAATGGGGAGAATCGCATCCCGAACATGCTTGCATTGTTGCTTAGAGTGGTCAGAAGACTCTGCATTTTGTCAGCGTCTTCGCCAAATAAAACTGTCATCAGCATATTCTAAGTCAACAAGTGAACCTCCCGGTAGAAGTTCAACCCCTGGAAATTTAGATGAGGAAAGTGTCATCTCTAAAAGCACGTCAACGACAAAGTTAAACAAGAATGGAGAGAGTGGACAGCCCTGACGAACACCACTTGAGGAAACCAAATCTGATGACAGTTCGCCATAAGCTCTCACTCGACCAGTTGTGTTTGAGTAGAGAGCCTTTATAAGGTTAATGTACTTCTTTGGTACTCCTTTCAATGACAAACACTGCCATAGAACCTCACGATCAACAGAGTCGAATGCTCCTTTAAGGTCGAGAAGTACTACGATTGTGGGGCGTCTGAATGTGTGTCTGTGTTCTAGGACCTGACGTAGTGTGAATATATGGTCTATACAACCACGTCCAGGTCGAATACCGGCCTGGTTTTCTCTAGTCTGCTCCTCACGAGCTTTGGTTAGGCGTCGAAGTATTATTGAAGCTAACATTTTAGACACTATATTAGTCAAACTGATTCCTCTGTGATTGTCACAAGAGGACTTTTGTCCTTTCTTATAGACTGGCACAATCAGTGATTGAGACCAGTCAGATGGGATTACGTCCAGTTCCCAAATTCTACCCAAGACCTCAGTTAATCTCACTGCTAATACTGAACCACCATCCTTAAAAATCTCAGGAGTAAACCTGTCAGGGCCTGCTGCTCTCCCTCGTTTCAGATTTCCTATGGCTTTTCTAAAGCAGAGAACAATGATCACTTATAACAAAAGACTCCACGTCATGGGCATTTATACATAAGTATCTCAATAGTACTATTTTTGCGACAAAACAGATGAATGATCATTCTGGAGTTATGTACGGAGGGCAATGTAAGTCATTTGATATTATAGTTAATTAAAAATTCCCTGTATCTTATAACGAAACTCTCCACCGTTTCGGAAGTTTGGTTTACGTCAGTTTTTATCATTACATCATTCCAATAGTACATGGAATTTTATTCTACACCTCTTCAAAGTATGAATGTCTGAAAACTCTCAGATCACTATTGTCTTCCAACAGTTGTCTTAATATCATTATGTAAAAATATTGTGGGATTCGGCGACACATGTCTAGGCGTAATTTTCCTGCTTCTGTTTGCTCAGCCGGGCATTATTCCGGCCCTTACACAAATTGAATGACGAAGTGTGGTGCATATATGCTTGGTGCTTCCTTGTACTAATGAAGGAGGTCCCCCAACTCTAGCAGAAGTTCAAAAGGCTATAGTTAATCTGAGACGAGGAAGAGCAGCTGGTCCAGATGGATTGGCTCCAGAGGTCTTTAAGGATTAGGTTGACTAATATTTTAGCTAAGATCTGGGAGTTAGACGTTATTCCATCTGAATGGTCAAAATCGTCCCAATATATAAGAGAGGGTTAAAATCATCCTGTGACAACCATAGAGGGATTAGTTTAACTAATATAGTATCTAAAATAATAGCCTCGATAATTATCAGACGCCTAACTAAGACTCGTGAACTTCAAACACGAGAGGATCAAGCTGGTTTCAGACCTGGTCGTGGCTGCATCGACCACATATTCACCATTCGTCAGGTTCTAGAACATAGGCATACTTATCGGCGTCTGACAATAGTGGTCTTTCTTGACTTAAAAGCAGCATTTGACTCTGTAGACCGCGAGATCCTGTGGCAGTGTCTGTCATTGAAAGGCGTACCTCAGAAGTACATGAACCTTGTGAAGGCTCTTTATTCGAACACTACTAGTCGAGTCAGAGCTTATGGCGAACTGTCATCTGCTTTTGCAACCTCAAGTGGTGTCCGTCAAGGCTGTTCACTTTCTCCATTTTTGTTTAACTTAATCATAGACCTACTGATAGAAATAACATTCTCATCTACTGAATTCTCGGGTATTGATCTCCTTCCAGGAGGTCCACTTATCGACTTAGAATACGCAGATGATATAGTCCTGTTTGGTGAAGACGCTGATAAAATGCAGAGTCTTTTGGTAGCACTAAGCAACAATGCCAGAATGTTTGGAATGCGCTTCTCTCTCTCTAAATGTAAGTTTTGCTTCAGGACTGGTCTGCATCAACACCTGAACTAAGGATAGGGAGTGAAGTAGTTGAACGCGTTGACAACTTCACTTATCTTGGAAGTCTGATAAGCCCTAATGGGTTGGTGTCTGACGAAATCTGAGCACGGATTCAGAAAGCTCGCTTGGATTTTTCCAACTTACGTCACCTATGGCGAAGGCGAGATATCCGTCTATCAATAAAAGGACGAGTATACTGCGCGGCAGTCCGTTCTGTTTTAATTTACAGCAGCGAAACATGGCCATTAAGAGTAGAAGACACTCGTAAGCCACTAGTATGTGACCACAAATGCCTTAGAAATATTGCTGGCGTCTGCTGGGATCACCAGGTAAGTAATAGTGAAGTTAGACGCAGAGTATTAGGGAACGATGGTAAGCCAGTTGATGAGGTTGTGAATCTCCTTCGACTGAGATGGTTGGGCCACGTGTTACGTATGCCCGAACACCGATTACCACGACGTGCGATGCTAACCGGTGTTCGGGATGGTTGGAAGAAAGTTGGGGGCAGCCAAACCAAAATGTGGCATCAGTGCTTGAAGTCACTAGCTTCTAGTCTGAGCCATGTTGGTAGATGCAGACTACTTGGTTGGGGTCCGCGTGACGATCGTAACCAATGGTTGGAGACTCTTGGTGACATGGCTCAGAATCGATCACAATGGCGTCGGTGTATACTCTCCCTGTCTTCCCTTAAACTAAGAGATTAAAATCGCTTCATATCTTCCGTTCTACGAACTAATTCTTTCTTCCTGTACTATATCCTTATTGCAATATTTCTTTTATATATTACCACCATTGAAGTGACTACTCCTATGAATCCGGTTGTTGTGTTAATGAGGTATGACAACTTGGACCGCTGCATATATGTGCCTGGTCCTACGTTGTAGCTGACTGACTGACTAATTTTTATGTGTTTAAATAAATAATAGTAATAGACGTAATAGTGAAGATTTCGTAAGTGTCGCTACTTTGAAAATCGAACTTTGTTCACTTGTTTTGCATACAAAGTTCCAACTGCTTTAATGCTGCGCATTATTTAGTGATTCTGGTTAAAAAAAAACGGCGAACCTGTTATTTCACGACATATTGCCACAGAATAATGGATGATATAATACATGCTTGATTCCCTGGGGTTTTATAGTCTCGAGACGGTCGGAAGTCAATCAGAACAAATGTCAGTTGAGTTATTGTCTGGGTTTTTGATTATGTTCATAAACAGCAGTGCCTAATTTCGTAAGATATAAGATTACTGTTGGGTGCTTTGGGTGACCAAATGTTTCTTCACTCATGTGTTTCATACACCTTATTTATTTATTTGAACACATGAGTGTTGGCACAAAGGGGCACTGAATGCATATGCACCACAAGCCACTTGATTTGTATGTGGGCTATGATATTGCGCGGGTGCCCAGACCAAAGCAGGTGGTTTCCTTAGGAAGCCACACCCGGAGCCTTTGACCAGAACGTCTGATCCACAAGGCAGTGGAGCATCGTAAGGAGATCCAGTCCCATGGTAGCCGATGACCAACGATTGGTTCATATGCCATTTGTTATTTTAGGATATTGGAACCATGTGCACCATGGGTTTGGAATCAGGGTTTTCCAACTCCACTAGGTGGACTATCTTTGTCCACCAACCCGCTTAAAGCTCCGGACATCGGCTTTTCGTCCTCTCAATTTCGTAAACAACATCCTCGCAGCAAGAAGGCAATGAGTAGGATTTACTTGTCAGCGGCTGTGTACGCGTGTCCATGTGAGAGCATTTCGAGAGGGAGAGCTGACTCTTCCCACTCTCGGTTGTACCAGGGACCGCTTTATTTTGTGGCTCCTTATTCCCACTAATCCATGAAGTCACTGACAAGTGGACTGAGTCATGTTGGTAGGTGTAGACTACCTGGTTGGGGACCACGAGATGATAGCAACCGATGGTTAGAGACCCTGAATGACATGGCTCAAAATCGTTTGCAATGGCGCAAGTGCATCCACTCTATGTTCTCCCAAATTCTAATCTTCTGAATTCTTCATGTCCCTTTTTTCCTCTTTCCAAATTTATTTCACTGGATTATACTCTTTAAATAACATTTCCAAACCCTAATCTTCCCGATTACTGCTTATACTCTTATTACCTGTACCACTACGGGATTTGAATCGACAACTGCATCTCTGTGCTAATGTGGTGTGGCAACTCGAACTGATGTACGTACGTACGAAGTTCTACGTTGTGACTGACTGATTATATAAAACGTTTTATGTTGTGTAAAATATTCGTTAAATCCATAGAGGATGAAGTTGTTAAATAAATAAAAGCTGATATATTTCGATGTAAGAAAGGAAGCAAAGAAGACAGATAGGGATTTGCCATATACCAAAAATAAATCGAAGATATGTCTGAACACTGTTTTTTTAAATATATTTTTTACACTGATCAGTAATCTGATTTCGAATAGGTAAATTGAGTAGCACTTGAAGTTAATTAGTATGTAACTTGCTGTATGTGCACAATTTACAATACCATAAGTTGGGCGACCACAAACTTTTGAACCACTGTCCGGTTCTACCAAATTCATCTTAAACAGGTCTTAATTTCTCCTTTACTAAGTATTGAGCTTTACTTTACGTCTTAAATTGAAGTTAAAATTGGAGACTGACTTTGAAATCGCTTTTTTTCTGAGATGCTACAAACTGAAGACTAAGGGAACTTCGCAGTTAATATCTCAGTTAACTGTTTTTACCAGCTTTAAGATTATTATGTATTTTATCCAGCAACTATTTGATTTCACCAGTTATTTGTATAGTCTATAACATCAGATAGGTGAAGCTACTTTGCTCCTGACCTCATGAGGATCACTGTTTACATCGACGTAATGGTTCATAATCAAGCAAAATCACTCAAATTTACTCTTGTTTTGTAAATATTCAATACTTATTACTTTCTCTACCTACTGTCAATCGTCTAGTTATATTCTAACTTTATAAGCCTAACAGTTTACTACTTGTTCATTTGGATAAATTCACCTATTATGTAAACTGTCTGTTAGCTTCTAGATAAATTTTTACAAAAAGTGTTTGATTTCTTAAGTGATTGCATGTTGGAAATCTCTTCTTATTATTTAACTGATTATCAAACTTTAACATCCTTACAAATTTATGTTGTAGGGTTGGCATCCCTGAGTCCTATTTCTATAATGATGGTGTATTCTGTATGGAGGAGGATATTAGCTCTCCTGTGAAATTCGGGCTAACAGTTGCTCCAATTCATGAAACAAATACGTTATGTAGAGTGTGTACAGATATCATATGTGTATTGCTTAACCAGTCTTTTATTCTGGATATTGATTTGGATACTTTTTCCACTCAAAACCCACTTTCTAATAAGTTTACAGAGGAACAAGTAAGCTGTCATATTTATGTATTTCAAATTCGGATGTTATCATATCTCTGCAGAATAAATTCGAAATTACATATCTATCGATTATCAATAAAAGATTTTACTATTTTTCTATCATTCAGAGCATGTAATGTTTCAGAAATTACCAGTAGAATAAATCTCAATCGTGTGCGATTTTCTACAATTGCATTTCCTAGGTGTATGATACTCTTCCGAAACCTTTGCATGACATCCAAATATGGTTGTTCATTTGGCTACATCTGACCCATATAATAGATCCTCACAACCCACCTTTCATATACCTTAAAGTTGCCATGCCAACTTATTTTAATCTCCCAGGTGTAGTGCTAGCGATGTAAATCTTGATCACAACTAGTAAGAGAAAATTAAGCTAAGAATTACTCATTAATTTTAAACGTGACTTCCATCTGTGTGATTTTCAAATGATTTTATGTCCAAGTGATAATTATTCGGTTCGATAATTTTCGTAATTAATAATCGCTGAACTTATATGATACGTAAATAAATACACTCAAATGTGATTTGATTTTTTTAAAACGTCTTTATTAAATAAATCTCTCATTCAAAATAGTTGCGTTTAAGAAAGAAATAAGCTATAGTATCCATGTTTGAAGTATTAGCGTAAGTGCGGTCACCTCAACTAAATTACAGGTATAGCTTCGACTTTGAAATAGGACAGTGCAGTTCTGGTCTCGATAACTATCGATAGTTTCACTTGAACTATTCAGTTCAATATTACTTGTAAACACCTGTTGCCCTCTGTTTCACTAAGTACAGTCCAAATAAAACTCAGACACATATGTAGTCATTGTACCATCCAACTAAATGTCTCCGTAGAATTACTTCTAAGTGTGGATTTTTGTATTCCATTTCAGGAAACAACGATTAGTAGTTTTTCTGTTATTGTACTGTGACAACCGTCTGTTTATAATGAGTATCAAAATCAAATTGATTGAGATACATTGGTTATCACGATAACCAATTGCACGAGCAAACTGTATTACCATCAAAGTCGTCGGAGATCAACAAAGTGGTGTCACTCCAGGATTGTATATTTGAACTCCGACCATGCTGTAGTATTAACAAGTACAACTGTACGCTTTGTTGGCAGTTGGGAAGTATGGAATAATAATACTTCTATAAGGTAGGGTCATGAATAAATCTAATAATAAAGACATATCTAAATAAGAACAAACTAGGCACTTAGTTGAAGCATGAAATCTCCTCTGAGATGTCCTGGGATGATCATAACTGGTGTAAAAACGTCTGTTATCAACATTGAGTTAAAAGTCAAAAATTAAGTATATTTGCGCAGCTTTTTAACTGACGTCTTTAAAAGCTCATAAGTAGTTATAACCAATCTGAAATGCAGAAGAACAACAGATTTTGGCTGAATAACTTTACATATCTTTAAGAATAGTGATCTATAGTCATGATCTGAAATAATTGATCTCAATCACTGACCTTCCTAGGTTACATAAACAAACAGGCTTCTTATCAATAATCAATAGTTAGACTCCTGTTCATCTATCTAAGACTGACTCATATTTTCCCATTTTGTTACAAAAAGTGGTTAGTTGATGAAGAATCGTAAGTGGAGTTTCAGAGCACTAACTCATTTTTCGAAATAATAACAACAGTTTTCTTCCAGCCATATTACTTGGTTATTTTTATTTACTTAATTTAGCTGAAGTTTAAATTAATTGTTTGTAATATAACGGGCGAATAGAAGTATTTCCTGCTTGCCACGATATACTAATATTATAAGATGATACAGCTGGTGATCGAAATTATATTACCACTAGACTGGATCACGTTATACTGAATACGCGATTTACGATCATACATAAAGAATTAGAGCATAGGCTAAACAATACTTTATTCGACACAATTACAGGGAGTCTGTGTTTAGTGAATCCAGAGTAGAAATTGTTATTAGAAAGGAAGTCACACATTAAACAGTAAGTGTTTACCTGTCTACAATCAGCGATCACTCACATCTTACTTTTGCTAGCCACACACCAGTCTGATAGTAAGTCCCTTTAATACTTTGCAAGGGTTTTTATTGGATCCCATATACTTACAACCAATTAGTAGTATTGATATTTTAAGCTGTGATATATTATTCTTTCAAAACTATCTTTGATTTTAGTTCGAAATTATCGATCGCTTGTATGCTCCACCTCCACCACTTACTTTGTGTTTGTCTCCGAAAGATTTGGAAGATCCAGCCGTTATTGTGGCTCATGGTATGAGCAGTGCTCATGTTCTAAATGCTGCTCGAAAACGTCAACTAACACGTCTTTCACAATGGATTTCTTGCTGGGATCGTGGAACAATTCCATCAACTGAAGATTTTCTTCTATTTCCGTATGAATTAATGGAGTTTTCTCGATTAATCCTCTCTCTGACTGAACAGAAATTTAGTTCTACTGTCTTAAGAGCAGTTAAAAAAACTCTAGATTTAGCTTACAAACAAACTACTCATAACAAAAATCCGCCATTGATTTCACTCGGTTCCGATGATGAAACCATTCAAAATGCTTTAAGTAAGTTTTTCTTGAAGTACAATAAATTTAAGCTTCAAACGTTTAACATCATTTTTATTTCACCCACGAATTACTCAACTTTTTAAAATTTTTATAAAAAGGTTTTTCTTTGTAAGTCAATATAAATAGTGAAAGAACAAACTGAAGCGAAACGAGTATTAGTTTGCTAGTTGCTTTTTGGTTACTTTGAAATGTACATTTTATTTATTCATTTTTTCAAAATATAGTAATTTGGTCAGTTAGAAACAACGTAGAACTTCGTACGTACGTATATCAGTTCGAGTTGTTATATCACATTAGCACAGAGATTCAGTTGTCGATTCGAACCCCGTATTCGTAGAGGTAGTAAGAGTATAAGCGGTAATCGGAAAGACTAGGGTTTGAAGATGCTATTTAAAGAGTATAATCCAGTGAAATAAATTTGGAAAGAGGAAAAAAGGGAGATGAAGAATTCAGAAGATTAGAATTTGGGAGAACACAGAGTGGATGCACTTGCGCCATTGCAAACGATTTTGAGCCATGTCATTCAGGGTCTCTAACCGTCGGTTGGTATACTCTATCCTATGTGTTCGTGAATATGATAGACCAGTTAACATGTGTCACAAGATTTTTAATTTAACCTTCAGTTGCCGTCTACTTTTTAACTGATATTATCTTTTAATATTATAAATATATAACATCCTTCATTCTGTATAGTGTTCAGTATTGTTAACAATAATCGTCATCTTTGCTGAACTGTAAGATTAACTAGATTTCGGGATCATTTTAGATATTGTGAAGTTCTTTCAAACTATCTTTAATTTAAAGGAAACTTAAATTTAGCTTACAGATCAATTGAAACTCAAACAAAAGTTATCATTCGTGGTGAAGAAATTATAAAATTGTAATATCTCGGTGATTGGGAAATTGGATTTCTGACGTTTCACGGTTGTTTCTTCACAAACTAAATGCATAACAAATAAACCAATACAAATTTAAATAGTTCATAAGGTGAAAAACAATATGTTTAGTTCAATTAAATTAAGTCGGGTCACTTTCATGTCATTGTGATCAAATGTGATTCTTTACGAGATATACTTATGTGTATTCTAGTGAGTGTGAAAAAGTATTAGGTTTGTAGTGTTGACGAGCGGAGTTGAGTAGTTGTGTGTTTATTCATCAGAAATATGTGATTCGATTTGGGTCATAGACAAATGAGCAATAATAGACCATACATATGGTTTCATCGATAGTACCATCCGACTACATATCTGGCTCAGATAAGTAAATGATAAAATTATCGTTATTAAAAAGGCTTTTTAAAGAATATTCTGCAGTGTTAAATATTAACTTAGCTTTAATCAAACTTATTTAATGAATGGAAAATACACTCAATGAAGTACTATTTCTAAACTATTTGGTCGAAAGGGATTCTAATGCGAATCTAACTCTGACCGTGTGCTGAAAACTGAAAAATTCAAATTGGCATATTGACTTTAACTCAATGCACCCATTCAGTTCACAAATCTCGCTGTTTGTAAATTTATTCAAAAGAGCAACCAAAATTATTACATCGTAACAAGAGAAACAAATCAAAGCGAAGAATATAGTTAGCATTCTACAGTTTCGGAATTTACTCATGAATATTATTTAAAATGTACTAAAATCTAATGATCTGTTGTTAAGTAATGAGTCAAATGTAATATCATGAGTTGGTACTGTAGTTTTACTCTATCGCCGCGATACAACAGAACTGCAACATATCTTTAAACTACAAAGAATTAAAGCTTTCTATCAGATGACAAACATGCTTCAGAACGCTTTAATTTAAATAAACGAAAGAATCCATTTCTCCTTGACACATAATTATATCTACAGATTAGGATTTTTAGATTTTGATGGTTCCTATATTAGATGGTTATGTTGTAGTGAGTTCTTTGGCAAAATGTGAAGACCATACGTTCAATACTTCACTTGCAAATCCCCCATCGATTGTCTCAAATTTCATCGCTTTTTCATTACCATAACAATTACTAACTGTTCCCGTTTTCTTTTATTCGATCTTCCCAACTTGTTGCTGCCAGGCATTTCACCTCTGATTTGTGTTGTATACTACTTATGTCGACACAAATAGAAAACACCACAATGTCGTAAAAGCGCGACTCACACCAAGGAAGATTTAAGCTACACAAAAGACCTCTTAATAATCCTGTTGAACTTGTGAATCTTCGAATCAAATCAGCAGTATGAGTACATTCAATTCTGAACGCCCACCAAATCGATATTAATAATTCAAAAACGCTTTTCCAACTGTAAAGGAATGTGAGCGGCTGAAGCTGTTTATATATTGCTGAACCCCACTGCATACAAAAAAAAACGAAAAAATAACTATCCATCCAATTTGTATTATTTATTTATAAAACCACATATTTATTTCTGTTCACATCTCACACCGCTAAAAAACATACAAATATTCAACTCTGTTCGTAAACAGTACAAGTATCATACTTTTTCACACTCACTAAAATACGCGTATGTGTGTCTCATAAAAAATCACGTTTGATCGCACTAACATGAAAACAATCCGATTTATTTTGATTGAACTAAAAATATTTTCAAGTGTTATGATGGTTCTTGAGTTTCATTACAACAACAAACCCATCAATCAACCATTGAAGACTTTGAATTACTAGATGGTCGTGTGAGACCGGAGGCTCTGGGTTCGCTTCCCGCTTGCGCAATCGTTGATGTATATAGTTAAGAAGCCCCGTGCTAGGATGAAATGACCATCCAGTGATTCCAGGTTTTAAATGGTGGTCTAACATTGATCAATTCTAGATTTCAATAAATATATGCTGCTTGGTTCTTATGTACTATTTGAACTTGTATTGGTTTAATTTGTTAGTTATTTATTCTGTCAAGAAACGACTCAAAGTAAACCGCAAATCTTTAGGAATCTAATTTCCCACTCATTAGGATATTGCGAATTTATATTTCATTACTAACAATCTACTCAATGCTCGATTTGTTTGGTATGATCAGGTCACACCTTGACAATAATACATACCAATTATTGTGGTTAGTTTGTTTAAGCTTATAGGTTAGGCTTACTGTTTTATAATTTGGAATTAAGTTTTCAAGAGGGATTGGATAACTCACATAATGTAACCAGTTGTTCGTTAAATTTGCGTCCTAATTACTGTTGTACCAAATGCTTAATCGTGATTTTACTCAATACAGATGGTGTGTTTAGGCGATGTGACTGTTGACTTCGGAAATTAGGTAGAAATATTACAGTTGTTTATATATTACAGACGAAGTAGCTGAGACGAATGATTTAAGCAAATTTTCTATAGGAGTTACTTCCTAAATTATTATTGTATTTTTGTATATAGTTACTTGGTTATTCCACTGTGGAATTGCTTGGTAGTTAAAACTTCGTTTCTTAAACTTGTATAGATATATATTCCATTCCAGGAGAATTCACTAAGGGCCCTGATTCCAACCTGACCAGCAGCTTACTTTTGGACCAGAACACCTCGGAAAGTAAAAATTCTTCATTTGTATCGGATTACACTAGCTTTATACCAATGAAACGTCGTTCCAGTAGTCCTGGCAGTGTATATACAGATTCAAAATCTAAACTTCGTTCATCCGAACCATTTGTAACATTTAATAATACGAGTCCGGCTGAAGTTGATGAAAATTGTCAATCGTCAAACACTTCTCAGTATTCTATGGAAGTAGATGATGCGGATACTTGTAATCATAATGGTTTAAATGAAAATCGTAGTTTAAAAGTAGTTTTAACTAAATTGGAAGCAAATTCAAACACATCTTGTATAATTGGTGATGACAATGAGGGTGGTGATGTTCTAAGTGTTCAACAATCTGCTCCTCCTCTATCAAATAAATATAATGAAGAAAATCTGAATTTTATGCATTACTTATGGTCTGGGTGCGCAGATCAAAAATACAATGCATTGCCACATTCTGTAAGTTTAATTATTCTATACTTTTTCAACTAACTATCAACTGAACACCAATACTATTGAAATTTTGGCATATATGAATGTCACCAGGTGGAGTTCGAGATAAAAGTATGCAAACGTGTGGATTAAATAATAGAATAATATGAGAATCTTGATGAGTGACACAATTTTAAAAAAGCTATATCAAATATGTTAATGTTATGAAAGTTAGAATAAACACAATAAATTCAAAAATAACCGTAACGTATTTTCAACAATACAGTATTGCTGTGGTGTGTTTTACTGATGTCGACAGATATAAGTAGTATGCGTCATCAACCGAAAGCGGAATGCCTGGCGGCAGAAGGTTGAGAAGATCCAAGAGAAGAAAATGAGAACAGAGAGTGATTGGTATATGAAAATGAAGAAACAATAAAGTCTAAGACACATGATGGACATTTCGCCAATGAAGTATTTACTGTATGGTTTTCAGATTTTATTAAAAGATTCTGTAATTTCGCATTCAAATATATTTGGTTGGTTCACTACATTGTAACATAAAATATAGAATTCTTCACTCATACATGGATACAAAATATTACTACTATTTTGACAATGATTTTTAAAAAAAGTGTCATAGACAAAAATTCTATAGTCCAATTAATCATGTATGATTTATTTATGACGAACAGACAGATATTTTCAGCATGGAGTCTGACATATGTGTGTTGGGTCAAGTTGCTGCAGTACATTTGTACTTAGAGATTTTGTTTTTGAAACTTAAATTATTGTATGCTGATAAATCTTCTAATTGAACGCTAGATTTGGCTTCCTAAGGTCTTCTAGTAACCCCCAGGCTAAATCTACACAGCAACCTGAACACGAAAGAAAAGGCATGAAATATGGAAAAAACGCTTTTCTCCAAGGTTCATTTTTGTACAGAAAAACTAGGATATTTATAGCATTTTAGATGGCCTTGGGCTTCCATAGGATTCTCGAACATTACTAAACATAGTATCATTAAAGGCAATCATTCAATCAGAGACACAACGTGTGACTTTTCGTTTTCTAGATGTTTCTGGCAAAATTTCTATTGAATGGTGATTGGATAAGATGTTTCTCAGCGTTTCCAGAGCTTTCTTCAAACTACCTTTTGTAGGTTAAATTAATTTTAGATGAAATATGCTGTAGTGAGGGTTTTCCTGTTCATTAAAAGTCTTTTTCTATTTCTTAGATAACCACTCCTAAAGAACAGAATGAGTTATGTGAGCAAATGGAAGGTTTGTTAAATCGTTTACACAATCCTTGTATGATTACGATTGCTAGATCTGTGTATGATGGTTATACTCCTACTGATCAAGTATCTACCATACAACTCGGTTTATTACAAATGCTTGATCGTGTTTATGGGCGTAATTTGCTTTCAGTCACTTTAGATTACGAAAAGTAGGTAATTTTTTTCTTGATTTCTCTTACAATTTATAAATTGATCATTTTTGTCTGCAATTATTATGTCGTCCCTTATACAACTTATCAATAACTTATTGACTAGATTCTTTGAACAAAATATGAATTCATACAAGTTCTTTAAACTCTTTATATCTCCAAACAAGAGAATACATTAACAAGAGGAAGAACATGTGAGAAAGTATCGACCTTCACTGAAGGAGCACGGAAAAGTGAAATGAGGTGTGGATGAGTTAATTTCTCGTGATCTAAAATAGAAAGGGAACTAATTATCACATTTATTTCACTTAATAATTTTAAGGTATTCCACATCACTACTCATAGGAAAAGTTAGTTTGGTTCCATTGACACAGATATCATTTATTGATCTTCATGTGGATACAGTTCGCAAAAATACATCAATATGTTGATAGACAAAAATAATGTCAAAACTGAAATAGATATGATATTGTCACATTTCATAGCTGTACAACTAGAGGAAGCCAGCTAAAAAAAACGAAGGAACTAAAATGATTGTTCTCATAGGAATATGAAATTAAAAGTGGGATAATTTACAGTTAAAAGGAAACAGAGAAAAAAGGAGTTAGAGAAGTATTAAGTAATACTTCATATGAAATTCGAAGAAAAATATCTTCAGTGTAACAGGCGATTTTCAGTCGTATAATGTAAACTTCTTGAATGTGAATCAAAATTATACAAACTGAGATCAAGAAGTACACATCTCCACTTACAAACTGTTATAGCTTGTCAGTTGAATGCTGCCTGTGATATCTGGTCGTCGATGATTGTTGTGTCGGAAACGCTTATCACTTATACTCGGAACGAGGACCTCTGCGATTCCCACGACGCGAAAGTAAGAACACAAAGACTGGTATAAGTGAAGATTTATTAACCCCAAAACACGACGACGACCCTAGTCGAAAATACACTCATTTATATATTGATTGTACACACACTTTGATTAACAATTAAGATGAAACCACATATATGAAAAATACTTAGTTATAAAAAATCACATACTGAGCATAGTTCATGTCAATGGAATACGAGAATATCGCATATTATACAGAATAAGATGTCATACGAGAAAAGAAAACAAATAATACATTCAGTAATCATTACATTGAATCAAAACGGAAGTAATGTTAAACAAAACTCATAATGAGTTAATCAATCGAAAATTGACTTTTCTTTCCTTATTATCACCTTGCCTTCTTTTTCTTGAAGACTCTATGTTGAGATCCATCTTTAAATTTTATGACTTCACAAACCGGAACAACAGTCAAGGGCTATGTCTATTCATACTTTATCTTGATATAGTTTCAAATGACATCCTACATATTTTTACGCTGACAAGTATAGTTCAGTAGGTTGATTGATGCCTAGATATGTGTTCCATATGTGTTAACCGTTCTAATTTGCAAAAATCTCACAATCTCATTAACGGAATATCTCTTACTTTAACCCAATATTGTATACACAACTTCACTGCTGTTCCGTCGATACTCGTATTGTAAGCGATATGGATGAATGCACACAGTACTTATACACATCAAGTTAGTTATTTGAATAGAAAAATATTAACACTTACACGTGTCTTTCACTGACCTTTTTTGTAAAGGTATTCACCATCTTAACCGATTAATCACGAAGTACTGTTTCGCATGAATTATCATTCTCTAAATTCTCCTCTTGAAATAAAAACAAAAGAAACTTCTGTTGTATGAGTAATCACCAATACAGAACATTTATAATGGTGATTTGGCTTTTAGCTGTTATATCTGTCTGATTGAATAACATTTCATTCGGTATACCTCAGAAGATTTAAAAATCAATTCGATTTTCACTATTTGATTCATCCGGAACAGTCGTAATTGACTGATATATTTACATGTTGAAGAAAATGGAGTTAAGTATTAAAAATTACGATTTTGTTCTACTGAGTATTGCTTTTTTCAGTCGCTTATTTAGAGGAATAAGCGCAAGCCACAAAATGTTTTTTGGGCACATTAATTTATTTGTATTTAAAATATTCATTTCGTAACTCTACTTTTCAGCTGTATCATTGTCCAGTTTGATCTATTTTCTCATACTTAAGGGATTTGTCTATTTTAACGACAACGAATTCTGTGCACTTCATGTTGGAGAAGGTGGACTTTTTAGCGCCCTCAAATGCCCTGGTACGACCGAGAGTGGGGAGAGTCCACTCTCCCTCTCGAAATGCTCTCACACGGGCATGCGTTTATAGCCTCTGCCAAGGAAGTCCTGCTCATTGCCTTCTCGTCGCGGGGGTGTTGTTTACGGAATTGAGAGGACGAAAAGCGAATGTCCGGAGCTTTAACCGGGTTGGCGGACAAAGAGAGTCCACCTAGTGGAGTTGGAAAACCGTAATTCCAAACCCATGGTGCACATGGCTCCAGTACTCTGAGGGAACAAGTGGCATATGAACCAATCGTTGGTCACCAGCTACCATGGGACTGAATCTTCTTACGATGCTCCACTGCCTTGTGGATCAGACCTTTAGGTCGTAGGCTCCGGGTGTGGCTTCCTAAGAAAATCACCTGCTTTGGTCTGGGCACCCGGGTAGTATCACAGTTGTCAGTAAAAATGCATTTCTCAAAAATACTACTATTCTGATACCATATAGGTCGTTTGGCTTAAATTTGTGAATTGTGGTAATAACGATGTCCATTTGAGAAATCTGAAGTCCATTCAGTTCCAAAGTTGATTTTGATACATACAACCAATTAAATTACAGTATGTAAAATATTATTGTTTGCTAGCCAGTAATCTGCGCATCTGTCTACTAATTTTAAATAATTCAATAGAGTTTGTGATGTGACTTAATTTATTGCCGAAACTCCTATATTATAAAGGCATCAAGTTTTGAACTATTTCTCATTTTTGGATTATCAATTTGTTTTCTAAGTTAGTAAATAAAAGGTTCGATGTTAACTTGGAAGTATATTTTAATGATGTTTATTACAATAATTTTAGCTAGAAATCTTTGCGTATACTAATATTTATATACGTATCTAGTGATTCTTTTTTCTGCATCGTTTCAGTGCTGAGAGTGACATAGAAACACTTAATACAATGGGATTTCATATCGTTACTCCAGAAGAATTTCAAATGGGTGGTCGTCGTATATCACCGATGTCGTGCCTCGCAAGATCTGAAGGCACAAGTGTTGCTTATCGTACCGAACCCGGTCGAAAAGAAATAGTTTGATCTTATTTTTCAATCTGAACTGTCCTTCAGAGTTCCATGAACATTCGAAAAACCTGATATTTTAATGGTTTCATTATTTTCAAATGAACTTATTTGGATTTCTTTGGACGATTCACTCTATAAATTAAATGTTCTTATTTTGTTTGCTCCCATGCATGAAATTGGACGTGGGTGAAAATAGACAGTTCTCCAGATTCTGAAATAAATGGGGATGTCTGTTTCAAGGTTTTTTTCATCATGATCTCAATATTATCTATACTCATCCTACTTTATTTCATGTAACGTTCACCTGGTGCTGTAATCTCTGAACGTGGCGTCATTAAACAAAACGTTTCCGTCACTGAGACGAATGGACTAATGATACTTTATTAGCAGAGAAAATATTTTGTCAACCCCAGGACTACAAGTGACCTTTAGTTCTCATCCTCTACGCCCAATATTTCTGTTATAATGTCCATAGGAATTATCTCTATTCCATAAGAGTAATTCGATATTATATTGATTTGGTCCATAGTTGGACCGAAATCCCCTAAATTTTGTCAGAATAGGGAGTATGTACGGCTTCTTCACCTCACATTACTTGTCGGCCAATGAAACTTGATTCTACAGTGTTATATATACTCCAATGATTATGGATGAGATAGAAGCCTTGGCGTAATGTGTTTTTATGTGTAGTAGCAATTGTTGGACGGTGCGTATACGTAGTGTAGTAGATATATAAGTTAGCCAGAAGCACTTCTGAGATTTTGTTATATGTTAAGTTTTCAGGATTGAACCGTGACTAAATGCATTCCAATAACAGCATACAATTTTAGATCGCTGGGATCTAAAACACATAATTCTTGTTTAATAACCATACTTCTGCAAGAGGTGGGTTGTATGCATGGTTTGTAACGCCCTGGAAGTTATTTACTGTTGTCTAGTCAGCTCTCATTGGCTTCAATCTACCCTATTTAAGAGTTTCCTTTGGGTCCTCTACGTCACTAGCGAGGGAGTATTCCAGAAGACACTTAGAAGTAGTATTTTTAAAACTTAAAATAATGAGTTGTTGCCCGAATGGGTGTCTATTAGTTCTTGTATTATGATAAACTAAGTTAATCGCCCTGACCTTAAGTAGCTCATTGTTCAAAATATACTTGAATTCAGTAGGTCAACGATGAATGGGTGCATATCTGTGTGAGCTTATTGACAATGTGTGTGGCCAGTCCTATCTCAGGCTTTTAGAGAAGTGAATGTTAAGCCTACACAATTACAACGAAGGATAGTGGTCCACCTTTGGTAGCCTTGATGCAGCACTTTCGAATGCATCATCAGGGTTTCTGACAGTTGTGTATGTTCCGTTTGTAAGCAATAAGACTTTGGGGGTACACAATATATTCCCTTCGACGTTTGTACTTTACGCGTTCCATCCATCTCACACCTTGAATCTTTTGCAGTCGGGACTGTTGTTCATAGGTAGGGAGGTTGTATATCACATACACATGCAAACACGGCTGTCAGAAGGTTCGTAATTAGTAGAGAACCCTCCCTAAGACTAAACTATTGAGACGCGTATCGATAACAGGTAGTCGCGTGGATTGTCTTGTCACCCTATACAGTACTGTTTAGTCTGGTTCACGTACGGTAAGAAAAGTTATCGCTATTTACCTCGAGGGTATGTTATGTCATCCGTTTTTGAATATCAATGTGGTGTGCGTCAGCTCCAAATTATCTATTACCACGGCTTTGTTCCGGAAGTGAGAACAGCATGCTAAGGATTGCTGCAAGAAGTGAGACTGTTGTACAGTAGAATGAATCACGTTCAAGCCAGGAGGTCTGTTCTCATCAAGGTGCCGTAGTTTAAGGGTGGACCAGTTACATACATATATTAATTAGTCCCCAGTGAGAATATATATTACTTTGTCAACAAGCTAATAATTCTACACTCATTAGATTGTCTTTCTGGGTTCATCAAATCCAAGCGTTAATTCTAGCTATCAGGATGTACAGGAAACCTATCTACCTAAAGCTTTCTGGGTGACAAGTCTACGCTATCTTCAATCACGGTTCACTAAGGAGATAGCTGGTTCCGGTTCAGTCTTTTCATTCCCAGTTGTGCATTATTATTTGTCTGCATTCATAAGAATTTTGAGTAATGGTCGGTTATTGTCACCGGAAATGCCTTGCGAACCGCGGTTATTACAAATAGTGCTAGGAAAATGCTTTAACTCGTATCTCGACCTATTGAACAACCTCTAGGTGTAGAATGCATAAAGGCTTCCTTTAATGTGACAAACGTGTCATATGAATCCTTGATATTATTTATATAGTTAACTGTCATCTTTTTCCATGTGCGTCACTAAATATGCATTTGTTTGCACACGTGTAACTGCCGACCTATTTATCTCATATCTTTTTGAGTATATAAATATTCACTCGTGGGTGCGTACTTCGATTATGTTATATGTTACACTCATAAAGCATTTGTGCATTTACTCTTTCTGTCAATACGTGAAAAATATCAGATTTACATATTATTATGTTACGAAGATTGGTTTAAGAACGAGAAATGAAATTAAAGAGAGATCTGTGCTTCAATGACACGATGTGTTACTAAATATGATTTTGAACTTTAAGTGTCATTTATTGAATCTTCACTCCTAATCATCATAAACTGGGTCCATTCAGAGTTATATTTGTAAGTGCGACAAACACGGAGTTTCATTTTAAGATATCACTAATTTAAGTGTCATCGGATTAGGTACATTTAGAAGTGCTCGCATATCACCTTCAGAATTTACAGTCAGTCATATAATATGACAGGCCTTAATATCTGGGCACCAGCAAAGTTAACGGGACAGATTGATTGGTTGGAATTAAAGCATTAAACAAATTTCCAGAAACTGCATGGCTCTGTAGGACCTCGACAACACGAAACGACGTCACAGATTTCTGACGCAATCTCGATATTCGTCATAATCGTAGACGCTCTCAAACCATAATAAATATAAGTCTTCTCGGAATTGCAGAAAACTGCAGTTTCGAGAGCTCCGAACAATCCGGTACGCGTTGACATCAACCCCAGTCGACGAACATAGCCGCCTGATATACATCACTGATGTGATGAAATTTTGCTTGATCGTCGAAACTGGAGCGAAGTAAGCGTACTCCCAACAAAATCTAACGACCAAATTCACGAGGCAGTTTTTAACCTATGAGTGGCAAACAGAAAACCGATCTCCATGTATGGTAAGTGATATGTGTATCTTGAAGTGGGTTTACACAAACCCAGGACTAAGAATTTTCGCGCACACCTTTCGGTTTAAAAATACAGCACAAACTTTGGAAGGACTCATCGATGGTGTCTTTGGACGTCTCAACTTCGTAAACGTGTGTGTAGATGGCTTCTTGGTCACAAGTCAGAACAGAGAATCTCATCTCCACCATCTGGACCTCGTTTTTCAAAGATTCCAAAACACTGCATCACTGTAAGCATTCACAAATATCAAATCACGTCCGACTCCCTGTATTCCCTCTGACACACCATTACTAGTCAAGGCATTCGCCCCCGTAAAGCAAAGTGGCGGCCATTTTGGATTATCTATATGTGATAATTAGGATTATTTGAATTATAGCACAAACTGGGAATCGAAGAAATTACGTATTAGATAGTATTAGATAGGCACTAACGAATGTACTGGATTTGGAGTTCCAAATCAAGCATTCAACAAGTACAAAGGAATCATTAGTTCATACAAACACTACACCATAGTCGACCATAGTTATTTAAGTATATTCAGCGGCCCAGTAAGTTCCTATCGACGGTTCATACCGAATTGCGCGTTCCTCATTAGACATTTAGCAGACCAACATCTTGGAAACGCGAAAATCTTCAACTAGGGCGACAACTAGAGAAGTGCATTCTTCACAGCTAGGGAGCTTATCGCAAAAGCAACTTTGCTCGCACAACCTGACATCAAATAACTCATTAGTATCGCATTAAATGCATCCGAATCGACAATCGGAGAAGTCCTGCAACAGTGGGTAAACAACAGCTGGTAACCTTTGGCATTCTCCGCTATACAGATGCAAGACATTGACTCGAGGTGTAGCACTTTCAGTAAGGACCTCTTAGACATTATTATTATTGTTGCTGTTATTATTCACAAAAATCTTTTGGGTACATAAGTGTTGTAAAGAAACCATTTTGGGTTTCTTCAAAAATGCACTAATACACAAGTTTCAATAATTTTAGCATTATATTTGCCATATTTGAAAAAGAGAAGAAATAATAATGATAGTGTAATAATAATAAAAATCAGGTTGTGTGTAATTGAGAAGAATATTGAATTGACTTTAAAGAAGGAAATGGAGAAAATAAAGCAATAGAAATAAAGGAGATGTGAAATACTCAAATAGTTTAACAGGCGTGTTTATGAACACAAAACAAGAATAAACGACTGTGTATGTATCGTCAAATTAGTAACAAAAATAAAATAGAAAATAATCAAGAAAAAACGATTTATTATTGCCGTAAGATATGACATTAGATTAGGTGTTTGTGCGATTACAGTTTGGAGCGATGCTATGAAAGTCTCAATTAAGTACAAAGGATAATATGTATGAGTCATATATGCGTAATGACGTTAAAAGGCGTCTGAGAAGTTAATTTAAGTGTAACACAATTTATTGTCTTAGTTACAAACTTTAGATTCATAATAATATTTATTTAGAAGAAAAAAAGTGGAAAGAAATGAACACTTAGTGAGAGGCTTCAATCATGATGATAATAATAATAATTGTGGAATAAATATCGACCTCTGAAGTAAACCAACAATTTAAAAAAATCATTTAGTGCACTCGGATAAATACATGTAGATTTATGTGATAGTATACAGAGTGAACCCGGATATTAGCACAACCATTTATGTAATAATAATTTAGAATGATGCTATGAAAGTCACAGTTAATTGCAATGAACAATCAGATACAATTTTATACGTGTTATATAAATGTCCTGAAGATAAAATGAATCAAAGACGTTAATTTGCTTAAGTGTAACTTAGGATAATTCTTTTTTTGTGTTTCTATTTTCAAACTTTGGAAGTTTAGGTATAAAATATGTATAGAAAGACAAGAAGGGATGAAAAGAATATCTAATATGTCGAGAGACCAATAATGATATTAGTAACACTGATAATTATAATTTCGAATATAGGCAGACTTCATATATTAAGGTGAATAAAAATAAAATAAAATAGGCGGTGAAAGTTTCAAAGGTTACATTTTGCTTTTCAGTCAATTAGATACATGATGGACCTTGTTTGTATAAGTCATTATTAAACACATTGATATTCAATAGGTGACACAATCTACCTTCAAAAAAAGATCGTCAAGGAGACTTCTGAACCTTGTAGGAGTTTCACTGGCAGTCTGTTGCACATGGTTGAGTGGCGAATAA